GAATGAGAGATAGGTCTATAGGTATGATTGATCCCCATAGTGAGGGATGGATTTATGTGGCTTATGTGCTAGCCCCATAGTGAGGATTTGGATGATTGAAAATATATTTTTGTGGATATATATTCATATTTCTCAAGAATTAATAATTGTCTCACTTGACACCTCACGAGCACGTGTTCGTATGTGTAATGAGTTAGAAAGTCGGTTACTAAAACGTTTGTCTCACCCATGGTTTTACTATCTTCAAGTGATAGTTTAGGTGCTGACCCATCAAGGAAGGCTCTGGAGGCATAGTATGCTGTTGTAGCTTATATAGCATTCCTGTTTTTGTTCTATGTGTTGATTTGTTACATATTGCTACATAGGGCCCATATATTTTAATACTGTAAACTAATACTTTTAATTATTACTATTTGATATAGGGTCATTGGAAGGCAAAAGATATTTAAAACTTTGAAAATTACATTTTTTTTTGGTAGTGTTGACTTTTGACTAATGGGCTCTGTGACCTATATTAAAATGATTTATCAGTTCATATATTTGAAGGTATAAGTGTGGTTTGGGCTAATGGTTGAATGATATTTCTGGACTTTAAAAGTTCAAGGTTCAAGTTAATGATTGATGTTTCTTCTAATATAAGTTTATTTCTTTTAGTCATGATAGCGATTTTAAAATTTTAAGATTTCTTCTTTTCTATCAAGGTTAATCTTTTGAATAATTTGTTGGATTTAATTTAAATGGGTTTCGAAAGAATAGCTGTCACAACTATAAAAATACTCTCTTATCAAATATATATAATTTAAAAATACCAACACATATAATATAAATCAACTCATTATTAGAGTCTAAATTAACCTATTTTTTAAAATTTAACTGGATAAATTATTATCTAAAACTAAATAAATCAAATCATTATGGAAAATTTAATTTGAAAATAATAACAATAAAATATTCACAATATTATTAACAATGTAAAAAAATTTTAATAATATTAGAATTACACAAAAAAATTTAAAAAAAATTATAAAAGGGTCCAAAATGGGCCAATTCTCCGCCTTGCATGGCCGGCATATTTAAACTTTCGGTCCTGTAGGGCCAACTTGTTTAAGTCATCGCTCCTATAGGACTGGCCCTTTTAAGCCCATTTCTCATCTGAAGGAAAAAATTTTAAGCGCGGTCTTACAATTTTCAAGCTTAAATGGATTCACCTGACAGGCTCGACCTATTTTCTAGGCTCTGACAATTATCATTTCTTTTTTTTTTTAAAGAACATAATCAATTTATAAGTTGTCTTGAATTTTTATAATAATTTTTCCATTTCGTCCTATTAATTATTTATTTGATGCTTAATATATTCTTTCAATTCTATTTGTAAGTTATTTTTAATATATTTCACACAAACAAAAAAAATTAAAAAATTTATCAACTTTTATTTAAAATTCAATAAAATTTTAATTTTATCCATATTTAATACATATTATATTTTATATAAATAAAGTCAACACAATAATGAATAAAAGATAAAATAAAACATCCGTGCAAAAATTTTCTTTCAATACCTCATAAATAAGACCAAAAGACTCTTCTATCTATGCACTATAAATAGGATCAGATGAGTATTTATTATCTCATTTCTCATATCATCATCTCTCCGTGACATATTCTCTCTTTTTTTATAATTTTTTATTCTCTGTCTTTACTTTCTCTCTCTTGAATAGAGATATTAAAAAAAACCTTTAATTCACTTCTATCATATTTCATATAGACGTAGAAAAATATTAAATTTTATTAACTTTCATTTAAAATTTAATAATTTTCTAATTTTATCTCTATTTAATATATATTATATCTCATGTAAACAAAGTTAATACAGAAATAAAAAGTAAAATTATACATTCAAATATAATTTTTTTTAATATCTTATAAATAGGATAAAAAATATTTTTTTTTACTTTATAAATAACATCAGAGGGCTATTATCTGTAACCAATTCTGTTCATTGTTGCCCACAAAAAAAGACGATGGAGAAATGAGTACTTGGCAGACGAATGGGGTGTTTAGATAAGATCAAAATTATAGTTTCAGAAGTGTTTTTACGGTATAAGAAGTAAATATGTGGAGGAGTTTATTTCGATTTGCAGAATATTACTTCTGAAAAGTGATTATTGGGGTATCCAAACACCCCTGAAAGCGTTTTGAGCACGTTCACCAGTGCCAATATTAATTTAAGTCATGAGTTTTAAATTCTCAGTGATTGATTCTAACGCGGGTATTTACTTACTCCCTCCTGTTTATAACATAAGTAGCTCACTTAATTTAAAATATAAGTAATATGAAATGTAAGTTTATTTGTTAATTTTGTCTTTATAATTAATATTTAAATATAATTTTTTGTGTTTTTTCCTCTCCTACACAATCTCATTTAATATGGGTGAAGTTGAAAAAAATTTCAATTTGAAACAAATTTAATGAGTTCACCATCATTCTTTTGTTATTGATAAATTGGTTAAAATGACTTATATGATAGATTAGAAGACATTTTTTTTAGTAGCAAAAAGCATGGACCTGGTTACAGTGCTTTTCAAATAATGAGTAATATAAATCGTCCAAAATAAATATAAGTGATTCAGATTTAATATTTTTTTATTAATTATTTTTAAATAAAAATAAGTATTAAAAAAATTAGAAGTTAAATCTGTCTAGGTCAAATCTTAACCGTTTAAATATGATGCAATTAGAGCGCCCAAACTCATTTCCAAAAAACATATGGCAACTTTTTGAAGCCGTGGCTGCCTTTCGTTCATACGAAGTCCAATCACTCAGTTTTTGTCAGCAAGCGCCAAGACACTCTTTATAATTTATTTCTCTTATCCATGCTACTCTTTCTGTTATTAATATAAAACTCATTTAATTAATTTGATTAGATTAAAAAAATTAGATAAATTAGTTAATTATAAAAAATATGATATATATTTTTAAAGTATTATAATTATCTTTCTTAATACCCCTCTTCTTCTTTTACTTGATTATAATTGAGGAAGTATCCATAAGGATAATTTAAAAAAAATTGATAAATATGAAAAATAGATCTCATATTTAGGATGAAAACTAATTCAATAATCAGGTCTTATAGGAGTAATAAGTTTGATTTAGCTACGATAAAAAATAATAATTAATCTGTCTACTCTGTCAAACTTAATATTACATTAATTATAAAATTGTTGGCAAAAATTGTGCAAAAGATGCAAATAAGAAAAATTATTAAATACTTTGCATATTACTACTCTCAATTCTTTATATAAAAATTAGTTGACTAATTTAAATAGATTAAAAAAATTAAAAAAATTAATTATTCGTAATAAATAAATATTATTCTTTCAAAAACGTCTTTATTAGTTAAATTTCATTTCATGAAATATTTAATGTGTACAACTATTAAAATTACTCTTTTTAAAAAAATAGATAAATATAAAAGATAAAATAAATTAAGATCTTATATTTAAAATTAAATTTATTGTTACACTAGCTCTTATTTGATATAATATCAAGCTGGATTTATATTTTAAAATAAGTGAAGTTAAAAAAAGGAAAAAAAACAATTAGAGGATAGGAAAGTAGAGTCGGGAAAACGGGCCGAGCCCGTCGGGCCGGCCCTTTTAGGCCCTGAAATTATGAGGGCCGGGCTTGATATTTTTCTTTTAAAATGAGAAATAAGCCCTGGAGGGCCGATGGCTTAAAAGGGCCGGCCCTGGAGGGTCGCGGGCCGGCCCTTTTAAGCCCTTTTATAATTTTTTTTATTTTTTAAATTTTTTATATAATATTAATGTTATTAATTTTTTACATTGTTAATAATATTTCAAATATTTAGTTATTATTATCATTTTAAAATTAAATTTAGTTTTAGACAATAATTTATCTAATTAAATTTTTAAAAAGTGGGTTAATTTGGACTTTAATAATGATTTGATTTATATTATATGCGTTGATATTTTTAAACTATATATATATTTGATAATAGAATATTTTTAAACTTATATAACTTGTGATTCTATAATTTGAATTAGAAATTCATGAGTTTCAACAACAATGTTTCTCTCATTAAAGTAAAATAATAGTTAGATTGCAAAGTTTAAAAATAAAATTCTTATAAAAAAGAAAAACTTGATATTTTTGTTATGAAAGAAAAGCATACTTAGGAAGAAAAATAATTAATTATAGTGATGATGAAGTTTCAAAAGATTAATGATAGTGTTTATTTATTGCACAATTACATTATAGATAAAACTTTTAGATGTTGTTATCTTGTTAATGAATGTTTTAGATGTTCTTAGATGTTGATGAATATTTATATATGATAATATTTTATATTTGTGACTTAATTTTATTCATATTTATGTCTTTTATTAATAATTTTATTGGTTTATTTTTATATTTTTATAAAAAAATATGATAAATATAAAAAATAATATTTTTTCTTAAACGGATCAAAAGCCCGCGGGTCGGCCCTGGCCCTGTAGTTTAAGGGCCGGACCTAGCAAATTGGAGTATTTTTAAAATTTCAGCACTGGAAGGCCGGCCCTTTTAAGCCCGCCAGCCTTAAAAGGCCGGTCCTGGAGAGCCGGGCCGGTCCTGATTCCCGACTCTATAGGAAAGTGACTGCCCTCTTATTTAATTTCAATTTCCAACTTCCAACTTTCCAAGCGCCTATGATAAAAAAATATCCTTCAGGTCAAAAGTAAAAAATAAAAAATAAAAAATGTCCCTTCGTCGTCTGCATTTTCTTTCTGAAATTGTGCCGCGTTCAGATGGCACATGACTCAAAAAATTATTTCTCTGCTCAAGCATTTATTGATGAGATCATCAAGAGTCTACACTTATGGTAACTGGGATCGTTGGAGGGGGGTGGGCATTGTGATCTTCAACTAATTCCGTTCTCCTCAACCTTCGTGCCTTGCCCGTCAAAACCTTCATCGGAAAACCGAAGAGAAGTCGAAAACACAATGAGCGACAGGACTAGCAACCTGCCGGACTCGTTGCTTCTCCATATTTTGTCTTCTAAATCTCTTCAAACCAACGATGTCGTTGCGACATCCCTCTTGTCAAAGAGATGGAGATCTCTTTGGTACTCCATTCCCAAGCTTGAGTTTCACGATGCACTCTCATGTAGTTATGAATCCTTTCTTCAATTTATAGACGCTACCCTCATCTTGGTGGATCTGAAATCTGTCAAAATGTTCTCTCTTCTGTGTGACTCTCATGATCTGCCCCCTCATAAGGTTGACATTTGGGTTAACGCTGTGCTCAAGAGCAAACTTGAGTATCTGAATTTATGGTTTAACAGTGAATTTGGTTCTGTAGTTAAGCCGTTGCCCTCTACCATTTTCAAATGCAGCACCATTAGGATTTTAAAGTTGCTTAGGGTGAAGTTGAGTAAACTTTCTACTGTTAATCTGCCATCTCTTAAAGGCCTTGCATATGTTGTCCGTTGAGTTCTCGGATGCTGAAAGTTTAGAAATGCTTCTTTCTGAATGTGTTCGTCTTCAAGAATTACTGCTACTGGATGTGGATTTACCTGATTATGAGGATACGAAGCTGGACATTGGAAGGCTTCATCACTTGGTTATTGCAGATGTTCCAGAAGGTCTATTCCAAATAGATGTGTTCTTCAATGTTACATTTCTAAGCTTAAAGGAGGTAATCAGTGACTTATCATGAGTAGTTTTTTCATTCATTGTCTAATATCATATTATATATCCTTTTTTTTTTAATTAATTTGGTCCGGTCTTTGCTCACGCAGCATGATTTTTCTCCTGATGATCATGATATTCCAACATTTTACAATTTGACCCATCTGGAAGTTGATTTATTTACTCTGAATGGGTGGGTCAATATGGTCAGCTGTCTCCCAAGTTTCCCCAAGCTTGAAACTTTCATAATTCGTGAGGTTTGAAAAATCAAATAGAATCTGTTTTTTACTTTCCCCTATTTGGTCTTCTAACTTGCAAAACACTTGTGTGGCCAGCAAGATTTTATGGGGGTGGATTGGTCAATGGAACCAAGTCCTGATGAAGTTCCTCCATGCGTGTCATCTCACCTGAAGACTTTCGCTCTTAAGGGCTTTGAATTCTTGAAAAGTGAGTTTCAAATTGTAGGATTTATATTGAAGCATGCAATAGTATTGAGGCCTGTGATCATTACGACTGAAGATTATGATTATCCAAGCCCAGAGGCTGGGAGACAGGAATTGCTGGGGATATTATCGTCATACCCCAAACGTTCCCGGAGTTGTAAGCTTTTTGTAGATGTTCCTGCCAAAACCATATATCAGAAGGTGTATAATAAATTAGTTGAAGAAAAGGATTTCAGTTACTACTTCGAATTTTAGCTGGGATCTTATTAGATGCTGTTTTCACTATTACATGTATAAAAGGCTTATTTAGCTGCTTATCTTGGGCTGAAGGAGCTTTTTGAAAATGTAATTAAGCAGGCGTTGGGAGCAATGCTTAGTTGAAATCTGAAAGGAAGAAAATGTATTCTCTGGGAAGATGTTCCTGCATGTTAAAAGTTTCAGATGATTCTATGAGGGACCAGCTGTGACTCTTCTTCGAATTTATTGTTTTTGGTTCCTTTATTTCTAGGCTTAATTCATGATGGTCTTTTTGGCCTGAATAATTCATTCTTAGATAAGCAAGCATTGTACAAAATTTAGCAGAACAGCCGAAGAACAGAACACATCAAAATAAATAGAGAAACTAACAGGACTTATGAGTCCCAACAAAAGACCAGGCTAGTCCCAGCAAATTAACCAATGCCCTCTCCATCGTGCCTTCCATCCTGGGCGAACAGGTTGCGTGTAGAAACCAAAGAGCCAGCCGCATCACGAGAGGCAATCGGATAAAGATGGTGGTGTTTCCACCCACTCCAGAGAGTGCATCTTCCTGCGCAGGCAAACTGCCAAATGATGCGTATGGAAGAGGAGTTTTGTTTAAGACTTGCATAAAATATACTTATAAATACATAATAAATAAATCCAAACAGGTACTAAATCAACAAGACGAAAGTAACTTGGAGATTGAAGGTTTCATGTGTCACGGCAAAACTTTCAACTCAATTGCCCGGGCAATATGTACCTAGTAGACTGAATATTAGGTGTGTCATATCCTAGCGCTCCATCCTGATTCTATTTTCAAGACAGGATGTATATATGTGTGTGTCCCATCCCAGTCCCACCACTATATAAATTTTTTCATGTCAAATTTAATAATTTATAAATTGATTTGGTTTTAATTATATAGTCTGCAAATTCTGTTTAGATTATATGATATTATTGTTCAGAGAATTGCAATAAAATCATTCACCAAAAAAGAAAAAAAGAATTGCAATAAAATCCCATCATGACAAATTCGCAAATTTTAGAGTAGGTAATAATAATTTCTAACCTATCATTTATGGCCTGTTTGGATGCTCTGAAACCGTGGTTTCAGAAACACTTTTCCGCAAAACGAAGTAACCTCCTCCACATATTTACTTCGTAATCCGTAAAAGCACTTCTGAAACCATGGTTTTGTTTTTATCCAAACACTCCCTTAGACTCAGTTATGTTCTTTTTTCAAGACCTCGTTACAATTCCTTCCTGTTTTTGGGTAGAGATTGAGTTTTTTCTTTTTTGCTTCAATATTGCAAAAAATATGTTCCTTTGCTAATTTTCAATTACTACCAATTTTTAACCAATAATTATCCTTTCTTTCCTTATACATCTTATATTTAGAATTGGAGGTAATACTTAGGAAAATTTTCTTATATTCTAATGTCAAGTTTCCAATCACACATAGTCATATGTTCTATATTTTTTCATGTGTGTTTATAATTAAATGATAATATTTTAAAAATAAAAAACATATTTATTTGTGATTGGAGAATTTAACATAAAGACATAAGGAGCTTCATGTAATATTGTCCATAATCTCAACAGATGTCCTGTTTTTATTATAAAATACTTGATAGAATATTAATTAAAATTTTTTCAATATCATTTTTATTTCAATTTTTATTTAAATATGAGTCAATGAAAACTTATTTAATTCTTAAATAAAGTTAATAATTTAGCCCTCTTTTTTTTTTTAAAAAAAAAAACTTCGATGAGTGTGGATGGAAAAGAGTACACTCTTACTAATGACCACAAGTATGAAAAAATTACAAAACAATGATGCATTTTGGCCAACCAATGATGCGGTATGCACCATCAGGAATGATATTTTCGTCTTATCTTATTTTTATGGTAAAAGACCTATTTAAGTCAGCATTTCAAACTAGTATTCTTTGTTATTAAAATTTACTCCCTCCATAAACATTAATTTCTAGGTTAAATTATACAAAACCCCCTGAACTATGGGCCAGTTCCCTTATATTTGAAAGTTTAAATTCAACCCATCTGATCTTTCATTTTTTTATTACGAACAACTTGCCGTTAACTCAACGTTACTTTTTTTAATGAAATTTGTCAAGTCAGATCAACACAAGACACCTCGCATCTTACGTGGCATCTTACATGACATCCCATCTAATATAATCATTTCATAATAATTATATTATTTTTATACAAGGATTAAAATGTCATTTTATATTTAAAAAATCCCTCTTAGTAATTAAACATCTTCGATGAAACGCAACTTTTACCTTTCAATTCTTATGAAAGTCTCACACCGCTAAAATGAAACTTTCAGCCTTGTTCAATATTTCATGGTCAAAGCTGGAAAGCTGGGAGTGGACATCTAGCTCGCAATTAGCAAAAAGAAAAGGTGAACATCGATCATATTTGTTAGGCTATGATTTTTTTTCTTTTGGCTTTTATAATTCTATGGACATAGAGATAATATCCCAATTTTTCTAGATTCTCACAGTAGCAGAAACTGAACACCCAAATTGATTTGAACAGGTGCGAATTTTTTGATAGTGATATTGGGCAGCTATATTTATTTTTTAAAAATGTTGATGAAGGGACAATAGTAGAAGTTAATCAATGGTTGCATCATAACCCACTTGAAGGATCCAAGAGTAGAGGTGCAAGGAATGAAGAGGCACAAAGTGAATCTTATTGGGATGGACAAGTGCAATTTGATTATGATGATAGTGAAAAGTTGGAAAGTCCAACTAGATTAGATAATGAAGGTCAGCAAATAGAAAGATAATCATTTAATGAGTTTAATGAAAAGATAGATTTTAAAAGACCTATCAATCTTCAAGTTGGTAACTTCAAAGTTTATAGGTAAGCATTAAAGCAATATGCCATTTGAGAATGGCATTGAGTTCAAGTATATAAAAAATGAAGCATCACGAATCAGGGTGAAGTGCAAGTGCAATTATGGATAGGTTATACATGCATCAAGGACTCATGCTGATGGGAAAGAGAAAACAAATGGGTGACTGCAGGTTGATTGTCAAATAGATACATTGAACATATTAGAGACTAACTAGACTAGAGTGTAACAACATTCGCAAATCAAGGGTGAAGGGATTATAATGTTGAAATTTCAAAATTTTCCGCATATCAAGCAAAATGAATGGCATTAAAAGTGTTAGAAGGTCGTGATGCAAAGCAACTTGCCAAAGTGTATGCATATTGTGGAGCAATAATGAAATTTAACCCTGAAAGTATAGTGATAGTTAAGGCACAAGGGTCACAATTTAAGCGACTATATATGTGTCTCAGTGCATGTAAACAAGGGTTTGTAACTGCATGTAGGTCAATTATATGCATAGATGGTTGTTTCTTGAAAGGTAGCTTTGAAGGCCGCCTTCTATTTGCAGTTGGAAAAGATGCAAATGAGAATATGTATCCTATAGCATATGCCATTGTAGAATCTGAGTGCAAGGGTAGTTGGAATTGGTTCTTGAATTTGCCATTTGAGGACATTAGCTCATGTAAAGATAAAAGATGGATCGTGAGGTCAAATATGCAAAAAGTATTATGCTTATAATATATTTATTGTATTTTTATTTTTCACTAGTAATAATTCATTATTCAATTTTTATAAATATATTTAATTAAATTGCAAGGGTTGCAAGAAGTGCTCAAGGCAATGAAATGTGAACATAGGTTCTGTGTTAGGCATTTGGGTGCTAATTTCAAGCTTAGATATAAAGGAAAGAATTTGAAAGATGACCTTCGGAATGCATATAGGGCAACAATTAGACAAGAATTCAACCATCATATGAAATGACTAAAAAAGCTTAAACCCAATGCTGCTAACAGGTTAGATAAGTATGATTCTAAGCTTTGGAGTAAGCATGCATTCTCAACAAATGCCAAGTGGGACATTGTGCAAAATAATATTGTAGAGACATTCAACTCTTTTATATTGGTTGCAAGGGACAAGCCAATCATCACAATGTGTGAAATAATTGGAAGGATGCTAGTGAAGAGGCTAGTTGCAAAGAGAGAAGGCATGGGGAGATCTCAAAATGCAATATGTCCTAGAATTATTAGTAAGCTTGAAAGAGCAAAGGATGACTCTAAGAATTATATATGTTATATGACAAGTGATGGGCAATTTAAATTGTAAAGTCCATTGAAGAGGGAGGTGGTAGATCTTAAGATGATGACTTGTACATGTAAAGCTTGTGATTTGACTGGGATTCCTTGTGGGCATGTTGTTGCTGCAATTTATCAAATAAGAGGAGTACTTGAAGATTATGTTTCTATATATTATAACAAAGATTTATTCATGAGAGCTTATGCTTTAGCAATAGGTGCAGTGCCTAGTGAAAAATATTAGCCAAAGTCTACAATGATTCCCTTGAAACCACCAAAGTATAATAGGCCACCTGGTAGATCCAAAAAAAGAAAAGAAAAGGAAAGCTCCGGATGAGCAATAAGACCCATAAAAAATAAGTAAAAAAAGAGCTACCACAAAGTATGGCAATTGTAAAAAAATGGGTCACAATGCACAGGGTTGTAAGGCTCCTCCTAATCCCAACAAAATAGTATATAAGAAGAAGAAAAAGAAAAACACTACATCAAATCAAACAGAATGGACACTTATAATTTTCTTTAATTAGAAAATTTGATTTACTTTACATTCACATGCTTATATTAAATAGAATAATGACTATTCTTTCATTATTTATTGTAGGACAGTTGGCCTCCTAATACTCAAGACTCTAGTCCATTCTTACCATAAAGAAGAATGAAGTCCCCACTAATTAAGCACCAATGAATGTTTTCTATTAAAAAAAATATTGTAAAACTATTTTAATTAATTTTTCTTGAAATAACTTAGCATTGATGATATACAAATATTATTATCAATGCAAACATTTAAATAGTAATTTTGTATTAGAGGATTACTTTTGCCAATATTTATAATTTATTAGCATTTTTTGTTT